TCAACATCAGTGAGCCTGCCTGTTAGCTCCACTGCTGAAAAAACCCAATTCCACCAGTTCGTAACCAGGATTTCTGCTAAACCGAACTTTAATCTACATGAACATTTCTGTGACTTTTGAGTATTTTTGAGTAAAATTTTGAGTATAAATATACACACAGACAGTAGGAACAACATGTAATAACCCACAATAATATATTAGGATCTGTTGAGTGGACTTTTCCTCTTTTAAAAATCGTATTTACATTTATAATTTAAATATTATTCTTACAATAAGGTGAAAATTTAAAATACGTTTGGCATTTATGCAGATTGTCGTATGTTTTGTTTACATTCAGGCCAGTACTACTGAAGGTAAAAAAACTTTATATACAGAAAACTGTCAGGGTGAAATGGACAACATCCCACTGTTTGCTCAAGCCCTTTTAGAGCACACACATACAGTGGTAAATACAGGTAATATGTTTAATGACAACCTGTGAGTTATTGGCCATAAGATGAGAAAGAGAAACATTTACAGCATGCTCTTGGTCGTCTATCTCCAGGCCTGGTGACTGTAAAATATTTCAGTCCATGTCTCAACTGAAAATATGAGCTAAGTCCTTTGTAGCCTTGTCATTGGTGTAGAGAGTAAAATGACATGCCTTCCAAGTCCAGCCGTTACAGTTAGGTCTTAAACATCTCATGTAACAGAGTCACAGCTGGTATGTTGGGGATCAATTCTGTGGTCCCGACCAGCGGCCCAGGGTTATGGGATCATGGGATTCTAGCAGACCCCTTACCGGGTGGGTATGGATGCTGATGGCTCGGACCCGTTCACACCCAACCAAATATAGGAGGCTGTTCAGCAAATCGTATGCTGTAATGTGTGTCACACCAAACCCCAACGTCTTCAATTGAAAGAGAATACAGATGTCTTTTGAAGGCCAGGTCTGACTCAGTGATGTGTCATGAGGCCAAATTGTTAATATGTAATGGTGGTTTACCATGAAGCAGGCCTTTAATCCATGACTCCCTATTCAGGAAGAAATGTTAATGTAAATTAACATTAAATCCATATCTTTAGGCCTTAAGAGGCAGTTTGAGCGCAAGCATACCTTATAATCCAAAACCTGAAAAACCCCATTGGCTGATCGATGGCTGCTTTGGTTCTCCCTGTTGGAAAGTGAAAACTATCTGTGGGCACCTGTCAGCTGGCGTGGAATAATATGGTAGGTACGAGAGATGAACAATTTTTGTCCTTCAGAAGTTTTACATGTATTAGAAGCAGGAAAAATGGCAGTGTAAGGGATTTGAGCGACTTTGACAATGCATCAAATTGTTGATGGGTTAGAATGACTGGGTGTCACGAGCATCTCAAAAACTGCAGCTGCTTGTGGGGAAAAAGTGTTCCCCAGTCTGCAAGTTGGTGCAGTACCTAGTCTATAAGTGGGTCCCAAGG